ATGCAGTGGTAGAAATGAAGAGGCATTATCAGGTTTTAGCTCTAGTCTGGGTTGAAATGCTTCCTCTTAGAATGTAAATTGGGTTTTGCATGAAGATAAGAACATTTCCTGATAAAAATTCCAGTCATAGGCAGAGAACTCATAGGCCCCTAGCAGACATTACACTTAAGACATAATTACTTTGTTAATCACGTTTTAAATAGTAACCTCACCACATACTCAGGCAATTAATGGCACCACCAAAAGGAAAACCAGCCACAAAAATATTGAACAAAAATGTGTAGCATTTCTTTGACTGGTTTCCATCACCCATTAACTTGAATAAGTGGCAGGGGTCCCCAACCAGCCCCTGTATGGTCCCCACTGGCTCAAAACCAGCTGATTGTCAGCTGGATGTGGGGACTACACTGGGGTTCAAACCAGTCTCTGTGCAGTCCCTACTGGCCAGTGACCAGATGATCGTTAGCTGGATGGGGACTATGCAAAGGCTCTCTGGCTGTGATGCTGAAAAAATCAGCTTATGACTGGGCAGCTCCAGGGTATACACGTGAGCTTGTTTGAGTCCCAGTGCAGTCCCAAGCCAGCTGATAATCAGGTGATTGGCAGGCACCTAATTTTCAGCTTGCCATGGTAAGGCAAGCTCAGGATTATGATCACTGTCATGGGATGGGGTCCCTAAGGATGGTTGTGTTACCCCTAAAGCCCCTTGACCTTGCCAATTTGGCCCGATAGGCACCCTCTATTCTCGCTTGTCATGTCTTGATGGATTTATGATATTAGGACATGAAGGCAGCCTCCCTTTGGACACAGTCCTGATGGATTTCCTTGAACCCTGTGGGTTCCTGGACCCTGTGTGGGTCCCATTCCAAAATAGATGTCATGGGACACCCCAGCCTTGTGGGCTATATACGTGGCTCCAAACCACCCCTTTACCATGCCCCAAGCCTCACATATGGTACTTCCACAGCGTCCGTCCGAGGCCTTGGCTTCACTAGGCCTCAGGTTGTCACCGGGCTCTCTGCAGCCCTGTCTCTCATGGTGCCCACACTGGTGCTGGGATCCCCACACTATAGCAGGGCCCCAATGAGGCCTCCTCCTTCCCCAATAGCCTCTCCCAAACCACCGGTCTTATAAACAAAATCAACATGCAAGCCCCAAGGCTATAACATAACTCAAGTCTCCCAGCTATAACATAATTCAAGTCACCCAGGGTATGCTCTGTGCCTCAACAGTATCAGAAGCTGCACTTGCAGTCAGGCCTCTCCCCTTTGCTTCCTCTGGGAGAGCTCCTTCCCCCTTGGCTCCTGGCCTCTGGCCTGGGGTTTATATACAAGCCAGGCCCTGCCCCTTCTGGTCAGCTGACTGCTGGCAGGTGAGGACCCACTAGCTCATTCTGGCTGCTCTGATAACCAGCAGCTGGGGCTCCCAGCTGACTGCTAGGGCTCTCTCCCTAGCAGTTCCAGCCTTTAAAAGGAGCAAGACACCCTAGTGCCCTGCGAGAATCACAATCAAAGGCTCTCCTTGCACAGGCAAACAGAGTGTGATTGGATCAGATCTCTAATCTGAAATTTGTGCCATCTGCCATACAAGAAGCACAAATTGTTGGGATTTGGGATAAGATCCCATTTCACCTTTAAATTAATGTCTTTCAGCCATAGACATATGCATTGATTTTACATTGTTCTGGGAAATCCGGTTCAATCTGATTACCCTGCTATAGCTTTGTAAAACTGAATGGTTCCCAGTTTAGTTTGAGGCAGCTCTCCTTTCTCCCATATTTTATGACTTGCATTATTAGCTTTCCTTGTCAGGATCATGGCCAGCTCACAGATTCTATAGAAGCACAAGGATATGACTACAATTTGGGGAGGGTCCGAGAAGTCAGAAGCTAAAGACTACATTTAAAATACATATAAATATTTCAACAGCTCCACGTCTACAAGTGCTATATAAGCATCAACAAATTATCATGTCTGCATGCAGAAGTTCCAATCACTGCATAACCAAAAAAAGTAAAGACAGGAGCTTTTAAAAAGAAAGAATGACCCCTCTCAGATTTTTAAAGACAGCTCCCAATGTGTTCGTAGAAATGCACTCCCTTTCCCAGATTAAATGTGAGCAACCAGAACACAATGCATCAATTTATCCTTGCAATCCTTGATTACTCTCATTAGTTTCTTGTAGCTTACAGCATGCAAAAACTACTTTGCATCGCATTTTGTGTTCAGAAACAACAGCACTTTAATCACACTGGGTATTAACAAAACAAGCCTTTCTGAACAGCATGCCTTTAATTATTTCCTTTGCCTCTTAATTTATCATAAAAGGCAAAAAAAAAAAAAAAGAGACTTCCACTTCTCTTGGGCAGATTTTGTTTTGGGGGACTTGAACTGGATTCTATGAAGCAAAGTATTATGTTTCTATTTAGAAATGATCTTCTTGTGTATAGAAAGAATAAAGGAGGGGTCAAAAAGGAGAAATGTCTTCAGAGAAATTTTTAAAGTTTGTTTTTAGATTTTTTTATCCTTAAAATTATATTAAATTAAAAGAGTCAATTTAGCTCTTATAGTAACAGCAAACACATGGGGCCAAAAGACAAATGTAAGCTAAAAGAAATCACAAATATAAAGTACAGCTCTGTATGAAGTAGAAACAATGGTACCTTTGGCACTAAAAGCCCAGGCCATATGGTTCAAGCTCAACATTAAGTAATGCTAGTTTCTTGAAATTCAGTTTAAACATTGAATACCTGCTAAAAGAATGCCCTCAAACTATGCATTTAGATCAGCCTGAACTTCCATACTAAAAGCAATGCTGAGATTACATTACATTTAAATTGGGGGTGCTCCACCTCCAGCCCACAGGCCAAATGCAGCCCACAAAGCCATGGCACCCAGCCTTCAGAGCTCCCCATGGGTTGGGAAATTTGGCGGTGGTAATATTGTAGCAGTTACCATTGCCATACTTCTCCACCACCAAGTTCCCAAATCCCAAGCCCCAGTATAGTAGGTTGGAACTGGGCCACAACTCCTTCCCCCAGCATAGCCAGATGGGGGTTGTGCAATGCTCTCTCCCTCCATGAGGCTGGACTGGGGTTGGACCAACCCCCCTTCCCTCTGCAGCGCCATGCCCCATGGGGCTGGTTGGGTCAAGCCCCCTTCTCCCACGCAGTTGCCCTCTACCAGCCCCAGTGTGGTTGGGTGGGGACCACCATGCCAGCTCCAGATGTGGGATCAGGACCACCGGCAGGATTGGGCTTGTGGCCAGACTAGGCACCACCCATATGTCTTACCCAGTGAAAAATTTGAGCACCAGTGCATTAAATCCCTAACGGTAAGCCATTGTAAGATAAGGATACAATCTGGACTTACTTTCCAGACTAGATATTTAAGGATTGCCACTTGAGTACTATTTAATAACAAAAGAAACATTTTGCATTAATTGTAGAAAAAATTATGCTAATATACTTGATTGACTAGGGAGTCCAAATGATAACTGCATCAGTGTAGATGCTCTAGTTTATTGCAAGACATTTCTACTACAATTATTACAGTTGCTTAAATAAAAAGTGAAACTACATGAAAATATATGAGTTTACAGTGCTTTGCATACCTGTGATTAAATAGGTGGGATATGAATCAAGGGCTAAAGCAGATGGGTAAAATGCACCCAGATTCAAAGACTCTGATCATAGACCTATGCACTAGTCAAGTTCTCATAATAAGGCTTTTGCTACGGTGGGGAAGGAGGGAATGATGTACAAACTTCATGTTGCCCTTTCTACATAGAGGTAAATGTTTCTGGGTTCTGAAGGCCAAAGCCTGAGGAAAGTGGTTTTCAGAGGAAGTTGTGTGAAAATTCTTGACAGGGGTGGAGAACTGGAATAATCACTCTTTCCTTAAGAAGAAACAGAAAGAGGTGTTGGAGAGCATGGCTTCACTGTCTCTGTTTTGCAGCTCCTCGTGTAGACCTCTAGAAGAAGACCCTCAAAGTGTGGTCTCAATAAAGACATTCCTGGGCAGTAGCATAGCAAAAGAGACACCCAACTTTACTTTTTTCTGGCAGGGGTGGATCGGTAAAGTAAGAAGGAACCACTATGATCATCCATCTATAAATCCCTACCCCTGCTTATTCTATGGTAACAGGTTTGTGTGTCTGTACTCTAAGTCACTACTTCCTAAAAGAGAATCCCAACCAGTAAGTAAAACCTACCTCCTTTGTTCAAACAATTATTACCTTACATTTGACTGTATTAAAATGGATTTTGTTGGATTGTGACCATTCAGCCAGGCAATTCAGATTCCTTTGTAAGGGTGAACTTACACATTACACTTTAACTATGCAAAACCTATGCAGTGTTAAGCAGTGTTGAAGTTACACCGTGTTCTGAGCACTCGCATGTTAAGGGTAATATTGTTTCTTTCTTGCACAGCTGTCACTTTGCTATTAGAGGTCTAGTGAGCAGGAGTGTGGCTAGAAGCCAGGACACCTGTGCTGTATCCCTGTTCTGAGTGGGGAGGGGTTGCATTCTGTGATGCTGGAAGAATTGCAAATTGCTTGTTTTATCTTTATGGAGTAGACTGAAGCTACCCTAATAAGCATGGACCAGAGTTAACCCTTGTCTGAAGTGATGTAACTTTGAGATGCTTAAAGGGCACTTACAAGTTAACAAGCTTTAACATGCGGATGCTCTCACTTTAAGTTCCCTTAGTACAGTCTAAGTGTAACTTTGCCTTAACAGTAAGCAGTGCTTTAGAGTGCTGGCTAACACAGTAAATTATCTGTAATAAACTTTGACAAAATTCACTCAGGAGACTTAGACCTGCTATTGTAACTGTGATACCTGCTCTTAAGATCAGACAGAAAACATGGTTTGCTGGCTTTCTTATATAAAAAAGAAAGTTGCATCAATTTTAATTCTGCTGATTAAAAAAAAAAAAAAGACTATTTAAAGCTGATCCCATATGAACTTTTTGAAGTACCTTCTGGGGAAGAATTACCTGAGTAAATTGCCAGTAAAGCTTCATTCTCTTGGCTTTGGCATAATTGCATTCAATGAGTCTGGGCCTGCTGTTCACATCCACCAGGCATCTGTTGTCATCGTCATCAATAGTGGGACTCAGAACACCCACATGGATCTGCTGATTACTTGTATAATAAACATTCTGCAAGAGAAAGCACAAACAAGATTTATGGAGAAGGTATTTCTGTAAGAGCAAGCTAAATATGTGGACTACAATTGAACTATTGCCTTGATCCTATGTTCACCTTTAAATCCTTTCATATACAGGAAGAAATGTAATATTTTAAGGGATACTTTAAGAAAACCTATATTTGTTTGAACACCACTAACTACGAAAGCTGTTAGAAAACATGTTACTTGCTGACATATTGTTCTATCTATGAGGGGTGGGGCTTAAAAACAAGAGGTTTCTGTAAATGGTACATTTTCTTGCAGGAAGTGGGGTCAATTTGGGGACTACCATAAATTTTGACTCTGTAATCTGAGGAAAATACCTACCTGCACCACAGGAGGAAAGGGAGGAAAGAGGAATAACAACCCAAGAAAATTTAGAGTCTTGCATGTGACAGAAGGCAAGAAAAAAATAAGCCTCAAAAGTAGATCTAATAAGGATGCAATGCAAATACCAAATCAATATCAATTAACTGAGATGTACAGCAGAGTATGAAACAGAACAATCATATCTCAGGACCCTCAGACACACTTCACTGAGTACACAGAAATGGGTATGCATCACTGAGCCTGGCTCCTGCAGCTCTGGATTCAAAGCAGAGAACTGATCTCTCAAACCTTTGTAATTACTGTGGTCCAAAGAGTCAAAAGAATGCTATATTGTGAAAACTATACTTTTTGCCCTGTTTTTCCACTGAAAATTTAAGTGGGACTTTAGAGGTTGGAAAAGAAAATGGAGAAAGGATGACAAAAGAAGTATATTACATCTAGTGTTTGCTTTTAGAAGTTTACATAAAATGTTGGCAAGGCAATCCAAGTCCAGAATATGGGGCTATTATGGCCTCATTTAAGGATTTGATTTAACAGGACTGGACTTAGCCTATGACAACATGATCGTCATGGATAAAATGGCTCTTATTTTTTGCATTACAATTCTTCATAAACAGTGGGAGGAAAGCACTAAGTTTTAGAATCAAAAAATTCTAAGTGAGGAGCTCTCTGACCAGCTGAACCTAGGTAGAAGAGTGAAACTGATGTTTTTATTGTCTTGTTGTTTATTAGTAACACTAATGCCTAGGAAAGAAGGGAGCTGGACTTCATCTAGTTGGAAAGATACTTATTTCCAGGGCCTGCTGGTTCTGACATGTTTATTATTAAAGTTATATTGCTTGTTTTATATGTACAGAGTGCATGTTGTTATAAAGAAATCTAATAAAATATTAATTACAAAAAGAAGAGAAAGCACAGATTAAATAAAAACAGCCATGGACACTAAAGATCTAGGAAGGGACTTGGGGGTCTACTGTAGAAAAATCTGTGAATACTTCATGTCAGGACATAAAAAACAGAGAGGAAATTAGAATAAATTAACACAGGGATCAAATATATATCAAAAGAAGTGGTGTGTAAGTCTCTCCATTTTTCTGCATCTAAAATTTCTGAGCCAGATCCTCAGCTGATGCACCGCAGCAAAGTTCTACACAAGGCAATGGAGTTGTGCCTATTTTCTCTTTGATCAGTTTTGTTTACTTTTCCCCCCAAACTGGGGGTACTGGTGAAAAATATAAGGTAACTAAACTAAGACAACTTGAGATTTTAAGAATCTCTTCTGGTCAGTCTTGTTTTCCCAGAAGAACAGAAGACTGTGATGATTTAGGACATTAATTCAAATTTCTGAGAGTTAAATAAAGCTGAAAGAAATAAACTATAAATACTGTTACAAGATTAAAGAGAAAACAGCATAGGAAATCTGATCCATAAATTAAGAAACTGAAATTACTACAATTAAAACTGATGCACTACAACAGTAATAAATATGTGAAATAAGCTTCCCAGACAGACTAGCGAAGTAAGTATTATTGATGAGTTGACGTGTCCAGACACTTTTATGGAGTAACAGAGAGAGAGGACTGAGGGATTCCATGATAAAGCGAGGAGGCAAACCTGAGATAATATTTTTTTAAAAAGGATTGTTAGGCCACAGAACTTTACAGTTCAGCATTTCTTCACAGCTCTATTGCCTTTTTGTCCAATTGTGTCACCACAGAAGAGAAAGAAAAGCATCAGTACTGTTTGAAGGAAGCTGTGTGTTAATATAATCTTTTTAGCATGGGTCCCAATATGAACAAAAGAAAAATATAATGTGAACAAAATATGAGGCAATGAAACACACATAACCAAATCCTGATAACAGAGGAAGAATGCACTATGATGCTCAAAGAATGCACATGCACACAGGTGACAAACTTGAAATCCTGTGCTGCCTGGTTGCCCCACAAAGAAGCCAGAAGGCTCCTAGGCTAGGGACAGACATTCAAAAACCCTGAGCCTGTATTGATTCAAACTTTACAGGTTAGTCTAACCTGGCTAGGATGAACCAGTTTGTAACCATAAAGACATCCCTTCTGGACTGAGGAAATGCAGGCACAAGCCTGCAATGGCTCAGGCTAGAAACTGAAGGGTGCTAGAGCAGCCCTCCCTTCACTTCCAGAGTGCTGAGCTGAGGGGGAGCATGGCCAGGCCCTGGCAGGATGCTCTGATTAGGGAGGGTTCCTCCCGCCCCCTTGCTGCTTGTGGCCAGCAAGGGAGAGTCAGCAAGGATTTACACAGCATTTAGTTACACAGAGGATAGTTACACAGCATTTATCAGCACATCAGCAAAACAAAAGCCTCTTTTATTAGTTCAAGCTCTTCTTAAACAACTTTTTCCAAGGAAGGAACAGAGGGACATTACCAGCTGACCTGTTGATTAGCTCCAAAAAGCCCCAAGATGACATGTTCCTGTATGCCTGTCACAGACACCTCTCAGCGTTAGCTAGAATACCACATGTTGTCTACAGCCCATGATGTAGTAGAAAGGAGGGAGGGATCCCTGCTTGAGCAGCGAGTGGTGAGGCAGGGAATGGGCAAAGGGAAGCCAGGCAGAGTCTGCTGTGCCTGCCGTCTCTGCCGGAGCTCCAACCAGGGACCAGAGCAGAGAGGCCAGCCCAGCTCTCTGGAGCAGACAGCTCTGTCCAGGGCTGCAAAGCATCTGGGATGCTGGGGAACTCTGGTTTAACTTGAACCAGGAAGGGGTCTGGGTGAGACACTACATAAACTGGTTTGAGCCAAATCAGTTAAGTCTGATATTACATGCAATCAGGTTTATCTCAAACCAGTTTCAGCCATTTTGAAATTCATTTATGTGCACTGAATGTCTGTTCTGTTACAGGACTAAACCGGTTTCTGATCACTTAAACTGGTTTATGTGTAATGTCTATCCCTAGCCCCAGTAATCACCTGACCTCATGACTGGTCAAAGAGGGGCCAGGTCATATTGTAGTTGCAAGTGCTTTTGGAAAGTTATGCCAATACTAAGTTAGGCCTGATGTACACTTAAATGGGAGAAGAATGACAGCCCAGGTTGTGAGGACTTAGGAAACTGAACCTGGAATTGTTTGTTAACAAACAGATACAGATAATAAAAATGTCATACAATGGTGTTGCCACTAATTTTGAAAGAGCAACTCATGCAATCACTTCACTTTTCACATGTGCTCCTTCCTTGTAGAGTAATCAAATACATAGAAGAATCAAATTTCGTGATCTGCACTATTTCTGTAAAGTATGTTTCCTGTGGGATATTGCTCTGTTCCTTACATGCCAGTGCCCTTTTGTTTCTGTACTGAAGCACAACCTGAGAGTTTGATTCCATTGTAACAGTTCCAATGGTAAAATCAACAAATGCTTACTCACATCCTTAATATTTTATTATTAATGGAAAGTGGAAAATTACAAAGGTTGTACAGATTTTCTGTGCTCATTGTTCTGTGTGTTGCCCTTGGCTATAAGGATCTTTTTCATTGCTATGGAAAAATCCTTACACTAAAATACCACGAGACAAAGATGACAGTTAGATGAATGATAGAGAAGGTGACTGCTGGTACTATTTACAAACTACTACCACCTTTCTAATATTCTTGGATTTACATAGCTAATAGATAAATCCTGATTGAACTTATTTCCCTTGAAAAAGGGCTCAGCTACACAACAACAGAATAGTTTTAATTGCTACGAAATTACATCTTCCCTGTTTAAAGGGTAGTAAACATGAAACCCAATGCATTTAAATCTGTTCACCTCATTATTTTCATCTTCAAAAATATTGGTTATGAGGATCCTTTAACCAAGTTGGGAAAATAAGTAATCTTTTGGGGTTACGTATTAGGAGATTGTTCAGCTTAGTTATATTAATTGTCTCAATGCTTTCACATTTGGCTTGGTAGATCTATGTATGTTTTGTTGCTGTTTTATTGCTTGGAAAGCTGAAGTCCTATAAGTGACAAGGTCCTACAAGGTTCTTATTCTATCACAGTATAAAAAGGGGTCTGTACTCATGAATTATGGAATTCAGTATGGTGGCAAACTAAAAGAATGCCCACAGCACCACTTCTTACAGTGGATCACTTAACTTCACTTCAAGTGGATAGTTTTAACCAGCGTCAATGAGCATGACAGCTACAATGCAATCCACTTCAGCACAAAATAACAACTGAGACATTTTTGTTAAAAACACTTCAGAAAATACAGGCAAAGCATCTTTTACAGCACACGTTTTGATGATACTACCACTCTACACTTTCAGGCTGTAAGCAAAACGGATGAGAGAGAAATTTTACAAGCATCTAAGTATTTTATAAACCTAAGTCCAAATTTCATAAGTGACTCGGGCACATAGAAGTGTAACTCTTACTGAAAACTGTACATGCCTTTGAAAATTTGACTCATATTTGGGCAGCGCCTGGACCTTTCAGTCCCCATGTCATGGAAAATGTCACAACTGGCAGCACTTAAAGACACAGCCAGGTTCCTCAGCTAGTACAAACTGTTACAGCTCCACTGGCACTGTTGTACATGGATTTACCAAAGTTGGTCCTCAAGAGGTGTCATCATCTACTAGATTGTACTGCAGACCTCAAAGGCCCAGACAGC